AAGAGAAGAAACGTGCAAAAACCAGTAAACTACCTACTCTCTCACAAACAATCCCAAAAAATAACTGTAACAAAAAGTAGGAAAGTCTCTTATCGGTGGAACAAGCAAAATATTCCCCCTCTTGATGCCGTGATTCTAATTGCCAACAATTTGTTTGTGTGTTTTTTATTAGTAATTACCGCACTTGTTTGTGATTTTTTCTTTTCTCCTTGTTCTATCTCCGTGGAGGTTGTTCAACGGCCGTTTGTGTCACATTTAGGTACCAACCTATTAGAAAATCCAATTTTTCACTGTATATAATATTTTGCGTGTCAAGTATGTGTCTTCATGAAAGTTCTTTACTGGGGTGGGCGATTTGGCAAAAGGGCCATGGTTAAATTTCTCGTATTTGCAGTGGGCATTATTTTATTGAATGTCTGAGGGAGCTTCTTCAAATGGATCTTGAAACTGGGTTTTATCAGAATCGGGTAAAGGTATTTTTCTTTTTTCTTTTTTTTTTGGGGCTTTTATTGNTCTTTTTCTTGTTTTGAAATTTTTTTTGATTGGATTTTATATTGGAGCTTTGCAGAAAGAGTCTTGGCGAACAGTATTGACATTGGCTTATCAGAGCCTGGGCGTTGTATATGGAGATTTAAGTACATCACCGCTGTATGTGTACAAGAACACTTTTGCAGAGGACATTATACATTCTGAGACAAATGAGGAGATATTTGGAGTTTTCTCCTTTGTATTTTGGACATTAACTTTGGTCCCTCTGTTGAAATATGTGTTTATTGTGCTGAGAGCTGATGATAATGGTGAAGGAGGCACATTTGCTCTATATTCACTGTTGTGTAGGCATGCCAAAGTAAATTCATTGCCTAGTTTTCAGTCAGCGGACGAGGATTTGTCAGCATACAAGAAGGATATAAAAAGTCCCGAGCCATCGACTTTCGGAGCAAGGCTCAAGTCCAGTCTGGAAAAATACAGAGTTTTGCAAAGATTTTTGCTTGTTTTAGCTCTTCTTGGAGCTTGTATGGTGATTGGTGATGGTATCTTGACTCCTGCAATTTCTGGTATGCCCTTTATATTCACTTTGTTCTTGGTCAAAACTCCAAAAATTCACAATATGATGGAATTGTAAGCTAATTTTATTTTTCTTTTTTGGTATTCTTTTAGTTTTCTCGGCGGTTTCTGGTGTTGAGCTTGCCATGGAAAAGGAGCATCACAAATGTAAGATTGGGAGTTTCATCCTCTTTTATTCTCTGGTAGTTTGTTGTGTGCTTCTACTAGCTGTCGGTTATTTTCCTCCACCAACACTGCTAGATTCCATATTTAGATATTCAATCAAAATCTGGACTTTTATCAGTATACAGATGTTTAATTGGAGATCTTGCAACATATGGTTCACTTCATAAAATGTTATCTGGTAATTTTCCTGAACTACTTCGTGACTCAAATTGACTCAGATTGTTTATTAACCATCTATTGCTAAATAAATTTTTAATAAGCTGATAGTTTAGTAGAGGACCTGGTAAAGGAGTGGTGGTTTTTTGGGGATTTAAACTTTTTATCTACAAGGCAATGATAATCTGAAAGCCAATAGTGTTCACTCATTTCAAACTGAATCATGGTACTTATGTCCTGTATCTTGTAGACAACAACAGAAAACCGTTTATAATGTTAATATATTCCTAATTTATCCTTTCAAACTTACCTCAACTATTTTCTCAATATCATTGATATTTGAATCTTGAAATATAATATGTAACACACTCATATTTTTCCTAACGTCTAATCTTGCAGATGTCGAGGTTCCTGTTGCATGTATAATACTGATAGCCTTATTTGCCCTTCAACATTATGGCACTCACAGGGTTGGGTTTTTGTTTGCACCTGTAGTCATAACATGGCTTTTGTGCATTAGTGCTATTGGTCTGTACAATATTTTCCGATGGAACCCTCACGTATATAAAGCTCTGTCCCCGTATTACATGTACAAATTTTTAAGGAAGACCCAAAGAGGAGGTTGGATGTCTTTGGGAGGAATTCTGTTGTGCATAACAGGTGAGTATTCACATGCAAAGTAATCTTTACAATTTTGTTTTGTCTGTCTTCGACAATATTTTCATCTTTTTTTGTTAATAAATTTCCAGGTTCAGAAGCAATGTTTGCTGATCTTGGGCACTTCTCTCAGCTTTCAATTAAGGTAGAGAACAAAAAGCAGTTCATCTTAGTTTATCCTTGGTTTTTTTGTGCTTGAGTGGCTGCCAGATAAATTTTCTTTCCTATAAATCATGATTATTTGTGTAGCTTCATTCTCTAAAGCTATACGAATAACAGTGTGCATAACTGTGGTTACACTCTGCTCCCAGTGACTTCTCATCTAGTGTCCTCAAATTATCTTTTTATTGTTAACTGTTATCATGAGAAAGGACCCTCTAGCAGTTTATAGATGCGGGACAACGTATTTGGACAAAAAATAGTTCTATTCCAAATTCACTTTGCTCAATAGTGCTTAATCTAAATTGCTCCAGTTCTAATATTTACTCATCGTGAGATTTTGCAGATAGCCTTCACGTCCATCGTATACCCATCTTTGATCCTTGCATACATGGGGCAAGCTGCCTATCTCTCACAACACCACAACATTCAAGAATATTATAGTGTCGGGTTTTACGTCTCGGTACCTGGTAAATAAATAACTCCAGTTGCTTTTTCTAAAGTTAATAATTAAAACACACACATAAAAAAAATATACAATACATAAAAGCTGAAGTGGATTTCCTCTCACAAATATATTTCATTTTTTTTTTCAGAGAAATTAAGATGGCCTGTTCTAGTGATTGCCATCATGGCCGCCGTTGTCGGGAGCCAAGCCATTATCACCGGAACATTTTCCATCATAAAGCAGTGCTCTGCTCTGGGATGCTTTCCGAGAGTGAAAATCGTTCACACATCCTCCAAAATACACGGTCAGATTTACATCCCGGAAATCAACTGGATCTTGATGTTCCTCTGCCTTGCTGTCACTATCGGCTTCCGAGACACCAAGCGCATGGGCAACGCTTCAGGTGAGCCACAACACACAAGTCAACCTCAACACAAAAGCAAATATATCCTAAATATAGACATTTCTCTTTATTAGGGCTTGCAGTAATAACCGTGATGCTAGTGACAACGTGCCTGATGTCTTTGGTAATCGTCCTCTGCTGGCATCGAAACATCGCCATCGCCATCTGTTTCGTCCTTTTCTTCGGCTCGTTCGAGGCCCTCTACTTCTCGGCCTCCCTCGTGAAGTTTCTAGAAGGCGCGTGGGTCCCGATTGCCATCTCCTTGGCGGCCATGGCCACTATGTCCGTGTGGCACTACGGTACTGGTGTAGAATAGTATTATTATTATTAGTTGCTTTTATTGATCTTGGCTTGATGGACAAGTTAAGGAGTAGGGTTTATGGGAGCAAGGACTCCCCGTCTATTATTTTAGGTGGTTGATTTTTTAAATGAAAATAAGATTTGATATCTGATTTAGATGTTCTTGAGATTGCGCTCTCATTAATATCGTCCCATTCGTACGCTAGGTACCCTCCGAAAATACGAGTTCGACGTCCAAAACCGGGTCCCAGTCGACTGGCTCCTCGGGCTCGGGCCAAAGCTCGGAATTGTCCGTGTCCGCGGCATCGGGCTCATCCACACGGACCTTGTCTCGGGAATTCCCGCCATTTTCTCCCATTTCGTCACGAATCTCCCGGCCTTCCACCAAGTGCTCGTTTTCTTGTGCGTCAAGTCGGTTCCCATCCCTCATGTTCGGGCCGAAGAGCGGTTTTTGGTCGGGCGGGTCGGGAAGAGAGAGCACCGGATTTACCGGTGCATTGTCCGGTATGGATATAGGGATATGCATAAAGACGACTTGGAATTTGAGAATGATCTCATTTGTAGTATTGCGGAGTATATTCGGGCTGGGCCGGGCCGGGATGGGCCCGAGGAGGAGGAGGAGGGGGATTTGGTGGTGGTGGGGACGTCCTCAAGTTATGGGGATGGGGTGAGAGTGGACGAGGGAAATGGGGTGGGCCCGTCGGTTAGGAAGAAAGTGAGATTTGTGATACCTGAGGGCCCGAAGATGGATTTGGGGGCCCGGGAAGAGTTGAGGGAGCTGATGGAGGGAAGGGAGGCGGGGATGGCGTATATTTTGGGGCACTCGTACGTGAGGGCTAAGGCGGGGTCGAGTTGGGTGAAGAAGATTGTGATAAATTTGGGGTATGAATTCTTGAGGAGGAACTGTCGAGCGCCGGC